GGTTTCACAGAGCCAAAGTCTCACCGTCCAAGCACATTCTCTGTTGCCTTAAAATATTGATCAACAGATATTTATAGAGAGCCCTGCTCTATTTCCCAGTTACTGCTGGGCACCATGAGGTACAAGAGCGATTCAACCTAATTTCTGACCTAAAGAGCTCATGATCCACTTGAGAACACATGACAGCCACATGAACCAATTCCTAAAATAAGAAGCAGTTATAATAGTATGATGACCACGTCAGACTACAGTATTTATCAGAGATTGTGAGGCATCTGCAGTTAGAGAAGAATGTATAATAAGTTGTTTAGTAAAGGCAGTCAAAGCGGTGAGGTAACTGCATATCCTGGGAAATTGTATTGTTCTTGTTTATTAGATAACAGCGTGTACCCATTTTTAATCTATATTCCTAACTTTTTTATAATTACAACCCCTTTTTAACACATACGATTGTAGCAGCCGGGTCTACGTAATAAAAATATTTCTTCTGCTGGCCAACAGCCCACACTAACACTCTTTTGCTGATGGAGATCCAATACTCCTTTTGAAGGAAAAACCTGGTACGAGCAAGACATTCACAAATCTTTTTTTGTCCCCTGGCAATAAATCTACTTAACAAGAAGGTCATCTTTTCAGTGGAGTATCGACCTAAAGTACAGGTTTGCTTATCTGGATGGTGTTCAATAGCTCTGAACAGAATCTGACTCCTCAAATGCCTCATCGGTTTTGTTCGGGGCTTGTACGTCTCCAAATAAAAGTTGTGACAGTTCTTGGTTCATAGAGCTCGTCGGGATCAATCGGTACTAGGTAGCGGACCGTGGGAATCTCATGGCAGATCTCTGAGGGCAGAAGGCCCCCTGACACAGGCCAGCGAAGGCAGAGGGAGAGACCACGTGTGTTGTGTGGCATTGCCATTCCCCTACCTGATTATTTGTGCTAATAGGAGGAAGCTATCACATTCCCATGGGCCAAAAGCTAGTTTTCACTTGTTTTTGAAAGGGTTTTTGTAACTATCTTAGGAGGTAGGAATGCCGAAGTGAAATATGGGGAGTTTGCCATATAGGAAAGGCAAGTCGTTATCAATCTACCCTGTGTGTCTGGGACAGTAGGTTCATGTGAGACAGCCAGGGTCGCTGCATTAACGTGAATACTTTGTCGCTTCGGAAGGCTGGGATGTCTGTGTTTGGGTTAAGACGCCCTGCTGCTAAGCTTCAATTAGGTGAGGCTGGTAAAGTAAATAGAAGGTAATGGATTGTGTCCATACATGACTTCATTCCATCCTTGGAATGACTTTATCGATAACTGCTGGAAGGCAAGACTCAGCTGTAGCTGTGTCCAATATACCTCCAGGCAACAGAGAGCTGACTTTATTTGCTAAGGTGTTTGAGGTGTGCCCAGGCTAAAACCCCGGATCCTTCACCATCGGATACATCCAGTGTAGTTTTTCTAAGACGATGAATGCTTTCTTTGTCTAGGCGTATGCTAAGAGTTACCCCAAACTTCTTGAATTGTGTTAAACAAACCCTCCTACGGTGGCAGTTGGTCAGAACTCACCAGAGTGCGTGCTATGTGTTCATTTCTCCCCTATGGTCTGTCAACATTTGTTTTCTCTGTACTCAATTTCTCTTGGTGCCCTGTGAACCCAAATTTAAGGACTGTGTTTAACGGCATGTTGGCGGGCAGGGGGGGAATACGGGTGGAGGGGTGTTTTGAATAGCTTTTTACCAAATCTGTGTCCCATTTTTTCCAAAACAATTTCCTATTTCTAAAACTGCTGCCAGCTCATGGAAATTTGTAATCTACAGTTATCCTGAAGTCCCAAGAGAAAGATTCAGAAATGATCTCCACAGAGCATTGTTCATTTAAGGATTCTTCCTAATTAGACCCCAGGGCAATGACTTGCTTTTCATTAGTTGATCATTGTGCATTTCCTGACATGTCGCTGCCCCCTAGTGCAGCACGCTAGTGAGTGCATCCTTCTCTGCAGACATTCTTGATTTGCATTATTACTGTCCGATCAGTCCATTTCATGCTTACCTGGGTTCTGGCAATGTGATTAGACACTAATCCATGACTCAGATAAAGTCCTTCATGGGCCCCATTTTTCCAAACAGATCCTATTCCGGGAGGAGGAGTTTGGTGGGCTAGCGAGTGCAGATGAGAAAAATGGAGTTTCAGCTGGACTCTCCAGACCCCTTCCAGTGGAGAGACCTGGGCCCAGAATTTTCAGCATAGTGCCATGAATCAGAGGAACAGATCTCGTGTTAAGGTGCATCCAGGGCAAAGTAAAGAACACTCGGCTTGGAGAGAGACAAGCTTAGGAAATTTCCTTAACCTCTTTGAGCCTTCGTAAAACTATCATCGATTCAAAAAAAAAAAAAAA